CATTGTAGGTTTTGATAATGAACGACGATAGCATGGAAATGTCAATCACTAAAAACAAAATTCTTGCTTTTAATTGGTTGAAAGCTAGATGCCCACAGAGTTAATCTTTATGCGGAGAAGGTTTCACTCCTCGGAAAACACTATTAACCAATAAGAAGAAACAACCTTTTTCCGGTGTCAGCACGTAAATCGACCTGAAATCATATGCGCGAAGAGGAAGAGCTGACTATGGAAATCACAACACTCTTCTGTGTTGTCCTTTTGCATTGGTTAACAACGATCACCAATTCAAACTCCTTGTATCCATTTTTATATTTTAGCGAAGAAGATATCCCTCGAATGAGACGACAAGCAGAGACAACRCACAGTCACATCGCCGGCAAACTTCACAGAGTTGCTCACATAATCATCAGCATGCACGAGGAGTTACCACCGTCAGACTGGAAAACCTTCTCTTCAAGATGGAACGAAAATTACGGCAATAATTTATGCGGTCTGGCAATGTATTGTGTGTTAAATGATCAGGACATTAGAATAAGAAAGTTAGTGTTTAAGGCAATGGATGTTTTCACTAGTCTGCCAAACTGGAGGGTCAGTGCATCAATGCGTGACGATGTACCAGTAGCGCATTCTCTAAATGGCATGGCAACGGCCTTTGACTTTCTGTATCCTCACATGGACGAACATCAACGAGACAAATACTTAACAAAGATAGCAAATGTTACATYAGAATTATATCGTAAGACTACATTGCGTAAACGTGCAGTTTGGTGGTCTCACTCTGTGATACAGAATCACGTCGCTACGAACTACGCGGCGATGTTAACAGGAGCACTTGTCTTGTCTAGACATCCTAGATACGCCAAAATTGCGCAGCGTTGGGCATGGAAAGCGCATCAAATGCTTTCCAAAACACTGCATGTGTTACAGTATGTGGTGGATGGGTCGATGGACGAAGGAGTATCTTATGGATCATACACGACTCGATCCCTCACCCAGTACATCTTCCTAGCGAAAAGACACTACAAAACTGACTTGACCAAGAATATCTGGCTACAAGAGCACTTTTGGTTTATGTATTACACAACGATGCATAACTTTAACCAAACCATCGGCATCGCTGATTCTGGGCGTCGATGGTATTACGGACCTGAAAGCCAGCTCTACTTTCTTGATTCATTTGTATTGAAAAATGGCTACGCGAATTGGCTTGCGCATAAAGTCCAGTTGTCTAGTTTKAATGTTTCAGGAWACCAACGACACGAYAGAGTCATGTCAGTCATTCATACCGAGTTTATATTTTATAATGCAAGCATTTTACCTAAACCTCCTCCAGATTACTACAAAGAGCAACTGCATACCTTCATTGACTGGGGAGTATCTGTCTATAGGAGTGGTATGGCTACAAGCGGAAATAATAACCAATCTGTTTATTTATCATTCAAGTGTGGTGTTCTTCATGGAGAAGCAGTCAACCAAATGGCTCTAAACAAACGAATGGCATTACCTTCCATCAAAGGTCGGAAGGGTTTCAACCCTGGGCACGAACAAGTCGATCAAGGGTCGTTCGTTTTCGCGCCTTTTGGCATTCCTTTTATTACAGACACGTACTATGGACCGAAATACACGTGGCTCAATGATGCTATTYTATTTGGTCCCTCTTYTAACTCGCCTTGTTCCGCGCCTCTAGAAGGACAAATTGGTGAATGCCAGAAGTGGTTTGATTTCAACAACATTGCTGCTTGGAAAGCACGTGGTAAGATTGTTACATCCACCACCGAGAAGGGACTGGTGCTGATGTGCGGTGAAATGGCAACGTGGTACCGAAAAGAACTGGGCCTTGCAAGCGTTTATCGATGTCTTGTGTTACTWTCGCCAGGCGTTCTTCTTGTACTCGACCATGTAGAAARGAAAAATGATAGCAARGTCGWTYATATGAATTCTTTTTTCCACAACGCTAATAATGACACATTTTTCACCAGGGAATGTTGGGAAACAAACCACTACGTGTGCGCTGGGATGTCAATTTACGGAAGAGAGTATCGAGCCGCATGGGTAAATTCACATKGCACAAAAAGTGCTGTTCAGCTTGGAGGAAGACATTTTAATGTWATACRTTCACTGAAAAAAGTTGACACCAGTTTTCTYAACATCAGCACTCCCCTTTATGGCAAGTACACTCGAGTTGCGTACATCTTTTCGGGACCTGGGAACGATGTTGTATCACTGCGCATTACCAGCGSACAGGACCATGGGGTATATATTTCTGCCGTCGTCAATAACCTTAGATACACCGTTGCCCTGGTAACTAAACATGCCCTTCCCCTTGTGCGGTTTCGTTGGTTGGGTTATGGTGGATTTGGGAAAGTCAACATCGAGGAAAAATGCCGTAGATGTGATATCAAATACATTCAACGTCAAGTCATTCACTTTGGTGAATTTAATAAAACGCAAAGAAAATCCACAAAGCGTAGACAGCGTTACCGGCCTAAAGACAACACAAAGTCTGTTTTCATTCTCTTCATTCCTGCTGCAGTTGCCTGTGCAATGCTCTTCTTGTACTTCCAATTGTTTCGAGTTGTAAAGTTTAGATTTTCTATCAAATGCTTAGTCTTCGYACTTCTTCTTGTCTATTGCGTTATTTCGTTAGCCACGTTCTTGAAAGGTTGTAAACGTGGCTGGTGTGTTGTTCGRAAACCGACAGCGCGCCATCAACGGGAACTCTATGGATTTGTAGGAGACACGAATTACCAACAACCTCCTTTTGTAGTTTACACATCCCTTCCCTTGGCTGGTTCAGAATTGTTCAGCGAACTTTTTAAAAGTAATAGTGATTTCTTCCCTTTGGACTTGTCTACTGAGTCTTTCTTCCATCAATCTTCTTTTGCCAACGTTTCACGAAAAAGAAGATCAATCCATTCGAAAGGATTTTTAGATTTTTGTCGTACTTTTCAAAGTCGTTATTCTGACCAAGAATACAAGATAATTTCTCAGTGGTTTCGAAATTATCTTAATGATCCAATGATATTAGGTGCCACATTCCCTCAAAAATCAGTTAGTTCTCTTCCGTCTATCAGTTTAAAAGATCCTGGATGGGCGCTAAGATTTCATTGGCTGCGCAGAGTCTTGGGCATGCGCATGAAAGCTATGGTTATTGTTCGAGATCCACGAAGTTGGGTTAATACTTGGCTTAAAGAGTTTAAATCTAAACCTGCATTATTAAGAAATACTCAAGAATCATTAAATACGCTGATTAAAATGGGATGTACTGAAGAACAAGGTGAGAAATTCGCGCAAGAGATTCAGATCGTTTTAGATGTCTTAGACTCTGTCGATAAAGCAAGCCGCGATGTACTGGCCACTAGRCTTTTGGCACAATTATGGGCTGGGCACACCAATGCACTTTTGCGCAAGGTCAGAATTGTTCCAAAAGATCAGATTAAAATCTTTCGACTTGAAGACCTTGTGCTACGACCAAAGAAAACAGCACTGAGGGCTTACCAGTTTTTGTCCTTGTCCCTACCCCCCATAGTTGATGATAGAATCCAACTGGTTACTCGCACAGGACATTTCAAGTTTGCACATACTACTGAGAAAATTGGGACAGACATGGTTAACTCATGGAGGAAAGGATTAACGACGAATCAAATACGTGAAATAGAAAGTATTTGTTCAATTGTAATGTCCCAGCTTCACTACAAACCAATGCAGTAGAATTTTAATATCACATGCTACGTAAAAAGTCCTCCTTCAGAGGCAAAATGCAAAACATTACAATTTTCCTATATGTTTTCCAGTAACAGCCGGTAAGCTATCTGGATATATAGGCTACGCTTCTTTGTGTCGCGAATCGACACTATGGCATTAAGACTGGAGCATAATTATGATTAAAAAATTGTTGAGAACAATTAAATACAAAATTGGACACACTTTATGGCAAGTATTTCCAAATGGGAATAAGAAATTAAAAGACATCGCGGATTTGCGCATGCAGAGGAATAGTATATTATACAATTAGGAAAATATTTAAATTCCAAAGAAAATAAATGATAATGAATAACTTTGTCAAATATAATTACAGATATTAGATGTGTTTTCACACCCCGTTCAGTCGCCGTTTTTCAGGGTTTTTTCTGATGACAGTGTTTCACTTTTTACTCCTCCATCAATGGAAAATTGGAGGTATATTTACAATATTTATGTATAAGCGTCTAGAAATAAAGATCTTTCTTTATATATTTACCAGTGTTTTTTTTAATTCCATTTCCCTTTTTTTGTTCCCTTCCATCTATTTCCATAGATAATCGCGTTGCCTCATGATACAATACAACAGGTGAGCATAACAATCGTTGAACCCTTGACGTCACGATTACCCACAAATCCCAGCTGTGAGCCGTCTGGGTGAGCTCCAAAACAAAACAACGAGAATGGCGACTGGACGAGGGGTTTTAACGCTTTTAACCGTTATTTTCTCACTGAAGTAGACTGATAACCTTGAATTCGAATGTATTAGACTAAGGAGTGTTGTCTACTGAGACACCTGGAAGGTTTTGCTGTAAATGGGGGGCAAACAATCCACGGAGACTGCTGTAAATAATCGCAGCACAGCTCGGCACACCGGCGCAGTTGGCAACGGAGTTGGTGAACATAGTAGGGTTGTTTCGTTGGATCCTAGGATTCGAACTCGTTCATTAAACAGCGTGGACCATTCTTTCCCGATACCTTCACATCAAAGCTCGTTTCAAGAGTCAGGACTGACAGCAAATGACGATAATTCCCCACAATTACGAGGACTCTATACAATTCAAGGAGCACATTCTCTTCCAGCGCAACTTTTCGCAACGTCTTTTATTACTGGTAAGATTATCCTCTAAAATTATTCTTTGTCACTGTTTTATATAATCATTTTTCATCTATTGTTTATATGATGGACAATTGCTTGATTCGTATGTATTTTTGCGGTGTTAGGGTAGATTATATTTTGTGATCTTATGCTCCAGGAGTGAAATGCCCAGTTTGTTCTAAAGTGGTGATTTCAGAAGACATCGAACTTCATTTAGTAGTTTGCCTTACAAAACCAAGGCTATCATACAATGGTGGGTATTTGATAATTAAGGTATTGCATTTTCTGCTAAGTTCAAGACTACACAGACCTACACACAACATGGATTTTTGCATCGAATTCTTTCCAATCATAAGATTGATGATCACTGACGATCATAAGTTTCTCAGTTTTTCCTTCGAGCTGAAATGCTGGACAAATAAATCACTTTCACCGCTGGTTTGTCCATAACTGAAAGCGAAACAAAAGCTCCAGTTTGCAATACAATGAAACGAGGTTGTACTCGTGGTGGAGTAAATTTGTGAATTACATGCACACAAACCACAAACTAAATGCTTACTTGCAAACTAGATTAAATTCTCTTCACATTTTTTGAATGTTGCACCTCATATAGCGCTAAAAATTTCAAGAGAATAGATTGTTATTTATACAGACCTTGGGCTAAGGGCATAGAGCAAGCAACATTAAATAATAATGAGTTTTTCAAAGTGGCGGCAAAATTACGTCTATCTGTATTATTATTCGAAGCAGGTTTTAGTTTTATTCTACGGTTTTTTGCAACTTATTTTCATTACCTCATTTCTTGCTTCTTCTTTTTTTACATCTACGGCAGAATTGAAAAGAAAACTTAATATTCCTTCCCCCTGGAATTGTTTGGTTGATCGCTCGATGTTCTAATTATAGCCCTGAATCATGCCACACGGATCTTCTGATCTTTATTCGTTTCGGATATTCATACAAGGTTGATTGGTAATTTTTGAAATCACTCATCGTGGCAGATTGGCAGATTTTGTAAATTTCATAGTTCTCAAAGAATATAGTCTTGTATTTTTTGAAGTGTTTTGAATAATATGAATATTAAAATATCTCTTATCTTATTTGTTACAAATTTAATTATTCAGTCTTTAAAGAGAGATAATCCCCTTTCTCGTCTCAAGACAAGAATACATTTTGAGTAAATATCTTAAGGATTTGATTCAAAACTTGTTTCAGAGCTAAACAAAGGTTTTATTTACTTCATTTGTCTCAGGTCACCTAGGCAACCTGCACAAAAAAAAMCCTTTTATTGACCTAACGTCCTTAGTRCAAAGTTTGAAATAATGCTGATTAMGATAGAAAAATGAGAACAAAGTTCCTGTTACAGTAAAAAGGAAAACAAAATAACAGTAATATTTGGAATCTCTAAAAATATCCAAGTCACTCATTGTTGTGCTAATTTTTGTTGTTTGTGTGCTTCACAACTAACAATAGCAAAATTGATAGGAGTTATTGAATAATTGTGAAAAGAAAGATCTGATTGACATGTTATAATGATCGATAATTACAAATCTTGTGCAAATAATCATCTTTTGCTAAAGAATATAACTTCCCATTGTTAAAAATCATTGTCAGTGAAACCTGGACTTTCTTTTGTCCTTATTAGATGACACACAAAGTCATATTCTTGTTACAGAGGATAGAAAATAAACTATTCTTCTATCTACAGAATGGGTTATAATGGTACATAATTATTCCACCTTATAAAACCACATTTCCTCCATCAAGTCACCTGGGGGTTGTTATTTTTAAGTGCAAAAAACCTTGGACTTAAGAAGAGAACTGAAAGGGGGCTTAGTGCTTAGTAGGCTTTCAACCAAATTTGATGTACATAAATAGTATTTGATCTTAGGTGGTGATGGTATAGCTTGAGGATTATAAAATTCTTTTATGGTAAAGCACATAAATAATAACAAACATGCTAATGAGTTTGTTTTTGGTTACATGTGTTAAATACAAAACAAAAACACGAGAAAAACAGAAAAGGTGAAGCAAACATGTCAGCTCCCTATTTACTTCTGCTATATTTCCTCACATATCTCCCTTCTGGTTGGTTCTGTACAACAATATTGTCAGATAAAACATGACCTATAACACAAACATTGTGCTAAATTACAAATGTATCATCCTTGTATAGGAGAGATGGGGGGGGGGAGGAGTTGGGCTATTTGTTTACTCTATTTATGATATCATCTATTTCAGAGGATGTTCTTCAAATTAATTCAGAGGAATGTGCTATATGTTTGGATGACATGCGTAAAGGTGGGTCATAGCCAAGATCACTTGAAGAAAGCTAACCTGCCAAATAGAACTAGAAAGAATAGGTCAATTTTTACAGAAAGTCTTATCTATATTGTTTCCCTCAACTAGAAAAACATTGAATTCTGACATTGAATGTTGACAGCACAATGTTCATAAGGCTATCTAGTGGTGATTTGTGATATGAATTTGACATATTGTATTGACCTTGATTATGATAATCATTATCTGCTGTATACAAATTAAATATGTACATAATTAGAATCGGATATTTTTTGTCAATGTTTCTCATTTTCTTATAAAGTATATAATCAATATTCTCTTTAAAATATTGTTTTTAGGTGAAACAATTGCTAGACTCCCCTGTCTTTGTATATATCATAAATGGTAAGTACAACAGTTAATATCTCCTACATAATTGAATCCATTGTCTGTGTGTTTACATTGTAGTGGTACTACCACTGTAGAAGAGATTGATTGATGCCTTTTTTGCACCGGATAATGTTATTCAGAGGTATCTATGGGTGCTTTCCATTTAGGCAGAACTGRCCGGCCAGTCCACTCTATTTAGARGTATATAATGCTTTTTGTCAACATTTTTMAGTCATTTCGAGGTTTTCTGTAGAATAATGGATAGAATTTGAAAATTTGAATTTCCTAAATAAATGGGAGTGATATATAATGACATTTTCTCTGGGTCTGGCCAGCCAGTTCTGACAAATGGAAAGTGCACTAACATTCACAACAATTTGTCATACATGTATTACTACTGTGAATGCACAGGTGCTGTTAGGAACTAGGACAGTGGTTAATAGATTCTTTTTATTTCAATTAGAAGTAGGAATAGTGTCATGATAATATTCATTAATAAGTTGTTGTCTTGATTTAGTTGTATAGATTTGTGGTTTCAAAAGAGTAGAACATGTCCTGAACACCCATCTTAGTGACAGTCAGGTAAAGAAATATAGTTGCAACGCTTCCAGCTATAACATGATTCTCATACTAATGATGAATTAACATTTAGACATGCCTTGGCTGCTATAAAAATATTGGAAAAAGGCTGCTTCCGTTTACTTTGTCTTTTTCTATAAATTCAGTGATACAAGGAGAATTCTAGAGTCAAGAGAAACACTCTCTATGTTTGTTTCTTCTAAGACACTGTTTACATGAGATAGGTTGCCCTTAGTGGTAGGGCCAAAATCCTTTGTTTTCAATCCTTCATGGAAAAGAAAACAAAAGAGTTAACCCTACCACGTCCTACCACGTAGGGGCACCCTATCTTATGTAAACAGGGTCTAAGCCTGCTTCTACTTTTAATTCCATATCCTATTGTGTTCTTCTAAGAAGGCAGACACACAACTGCTAACATTTATGCAGGAAATTATGTCATTCTGCACTTTTCCAGTGCTTTCCGGACACTACTAAACTGTATTTTACGAGGACGCACATGGCTGTTTTAAACTAAATGCTATGTATTTATTTAAAAAAATAACTGTATGTTCTTGTTGTTTTACAGACTGATGGACTGTATTTATTTTGTAGGTAAAATAGCTTCTTCTATAATGAGATTGCAAAGCTGCACTAGTGCACTGGTTTAACAATTGAAAGTCCAACTTGTGAAGATCAGTAAAAGTACTTTAATTGAACATGTGACAGTCTGTATTGGTCACCAAATCTCTGTTCACCAAGGTACCAGACAACAAGGATCTAAATAGTACTAACTGTAGTTTCAAATGAGATGCTGGCATATAAAATAATAATTTGCTTGCTTTTACCCATAAATCATTCATCTCTTATCAAATCTCTTGATGTGCTTCATGGTTAGTCTGTTAATTTTGTACCCGATATGCTAAAGTTTTTAGAGTGTCCTAATTTTGATAATTTACACACTATTGTTAGCATTTCCATTTTCTCAGTAAACCACTAGTGRATTTTGTCTTACTGTCTTTTGTACTGTGACTATACTTTGCTGTGGCAATGGATGATGSGTTCTTGAATCAATATTWTCATTAGGTGTCACTACCAGGSRRGKT